CTGCGAATCCTTCACCTGACCAGTCAGCGCTCTTCACTCTCACCAAGCTGCGACGAATCATAGGACCAATTGAGGTCGTATAGCGCCCAGGTGCGGTGAGTTATAGTGTCATTGAAAACAATCTGCACCGAGCAACAGGGACGGCCAGGTGGCCAGCGGCTTGCCAGCATGATAGATAAATGCGATGGCATGCACAAGAAAATGAGGAGACTTCAGGACATTCACAACACAAGACTCTTTACGTTGCCGTTCTTTCGCCCGGACGACTCGTACTATTGCGCCTTTGGCCTAGGATCGGATGCTTAGAGCGCGTTAACGGTTTGCACAACATCAGAGCAGGTCTCTTCTCGGGCAACGTCGAGTTCAAGCCCTGGCAACATCCAGCCACACCCAGCAACACCAGCTACACCAGCTACACCCAGCTGTACATCCAATCCACCTATCACAGCACTGCTCAAAGAGCTGACCGCAACGCCGGCCAGGCAGAAAGACAAACAAAGCATTCACAGCAGAGCGCGCGTACGCCGAAGGAGCAACCACAATCGAAATCCTGTCTGCCGCCTGCAGTCTCGCTCGCAAGTCACAGGTACAGGCCCAACGAGCGAATCAAGATACGGAGCGAGGTCCCAGCGGCGAAGCTGGAGTGGTGAGAGCAGCTCCGCCACAGCCAATCAAGCGCACGGCGAGCTCAGCCCTCGTCGGCCCCACCAGGCTTCTTCTCCACTTTAGCCGCCAGGCGGCAAGAACGAACGACAAGGGTCGCCTGGGTTGCCCTCAGATTGCCCTCACTCGGCCCTTAGCTCGCCCTCACCTCGCCGGTTTAACGCCCTCCTGTCCCAACTATTCCCTCCACCACTGACAACATCCCATCTGGTTCCTCTGCCTCTCAGTTGCACACACATCGTTGGCCAGCCTTTGGCCCCAGCTGTCAGGCGCCTCAAGTCGTCCACTCTCCTTACGGCACCTCAGCCGTTCCCCGCTGGTCGGTCTCTTCTCACGGATACTCTTTTTGTTACGCGCCAACGGGATCTTGAGTCGTAGATCCCTTGCTCCCACCCGGCCTACGACAATACTACTGCACCTGGCACACGCTTCGGTGACAGAGCAGGTCGCATCCTGGTCAAGTTTGACTGTCCCAGTGCCAGAGGAGCTGCTGCTGCTGTGCACGCTGCTCTCCCAGAAATAGATCGACTATTTTCTCCCGCTGCCTGCTCGACCTGTCCCTTCCACCTCTCCTCCCTCTTCACGGCACGATCCTCTTCCCTACGCTGGTGTCCGTCAGGCCTCTATCACCAGAGCTTCTCCCTCGCTCACTCAACATCTACCTTCACGGCTTGGACAGTTCGACTCTCTCGTTGTCGACACCACCATGCCTTCAATCACTCGTCCGGTCCTCCCACCCCTCCAGACCCCCAAGTCTGCCTCATTCCCATCCGAGATCGTTGGTACGCCGGTCTCATGCGCCTCTGCGGTGATTAAGCAAGAAAATGCGAGCCTGAAGACACCGATCACGCCGCCGGTTGCCTACACAGAGTTTCTCAAAGCCTTGACCCCGTCGCTGGCCAGCCCTCCCCCAAGCGCACTCCAAAGATCACTGTCGGACGAGTCGACATGCACAAGATATTCTATGATCTCGAATGCGTCTACGTCCTCGAGTCTGTCGTCGAGCCGAAGCGAAAGCCACAAGTCTCCTTCCAGCTCCGTTCCACCCACTCCATACAGCCGCAGAACGCCCACGGCGTTGAGACGGCTTCGCATCCCACATTCTCCGGCATTTTCGCCGTCCACCTGTGGACCGTCTCCGCGGACAGCCGTAAGCGGCATGAGTACTGGTGGCATCTATTCACCCTTCTCTCCAGCTGATTGGAATTGCGAGAGCGCGACTCGTCGGTTCTTTGAGGCTCCACGAAGCGCCTGTACCAAACCCGTCAGTGTGCGATCTGTAGTCACGAGAACAGTGACATACAAACGATCACCACCACTGGATCCTGCCCCGAAAGGAAAGAAACGCAAAGTTGAGGCCGCGGAAATGCCTCCTCCTCCCATCACCTCGAAAGATACGACTGTCATCAAAGCGTCCGATTTCCCGTCGACCCTAGTCGATTCGCCTCCAGCAATCTCAACATCCCCCACCTCGTTGACGTTGGCACAACCCGCATCAATCACCACTCCTCCGACCGCTGTCGCTTGAGACACACCTGACCTTCATAGGCGGGCCTTTGAATACAGACTATTAAACATGCCGACAGGGACAGAACACTGAGACTTGTCCCACCAGTTGGGGCGGTTATGGAATTTACGACGGAATCAGCTATCATTTTTGTTGTACATGATACCACTACATCTTTCGGCGATGGCGCTTGGCGTTCAAATGCCGTGAGGCACCAAATCTAGGCGGAAGGAGTTCATCTGGCACGAAAGACAATGTTTCGAAGCTTACGACCTTGCGTGGGGCTCGGCAGGATGGATAGTGTACTGGGTCTCTTACGATCCGCTTGGAGATTTTCAATGGGATACGGGTGGAATTGTGAAAAGCACTTTTGTCTGGCGAAAGGATAAGGAAGGTCTCCGCAGCCGGATTCCGCGATCAGAGCAGGCCAAAGACTCCGGATCCGTGATATTTGGAGGCAATGGCGATGGCTGATTCCCTCCCCACAAGGATGAAGATAAAGCCATAAACAATCAATGACTAAGATACTTCTCCCAAACCATGGATTGTCTATCCCGCTTTTCGTGCCCTATTTCCAACATCAGGAACCTGAGCGCGTCCTCTTTCCCGGCCAAAACACCTTTGGTTGCGAGGACGCAGAAGGCCCGCAGAAAACGTGGCAGCCGGATGTTGAGCCGCCTCTCGTCACAGGATGGCAGGGACGCTATTGGACCACGATTGCTGTTCGATCACCGATCCACTGCAGCGGTTACCAGGCCGGAACCCATTCGATTCGCTCCAGGCAAGGCCGAATTACGTAGGATAGCGCCAGGACCTTTGGAGACGCTGCACACACCGAGGATCCTATGTATAACATCAGCGAATCGAGGCGAAGAGTGAGAAAGCTTCAGCACGGCGTCATTGGTTGGATACCCGCGTGCATCGATAGTTGCGGCCAGCCAGTGGCACGCTCACGGAGAGGCTCTCAGTACTGAGTACACAGTACCTCTCCTCGTACTCGCACCTGAAGACTCCTTCCCACGTTACAAGAGTTACGGATGTCAAAAGTCCTCCAGGGGCGCAAAGCATAAGTGCCGAGGAGCAGCACATGCAACCTGACCGTGAGAGAAGGGGGCATGGCCCAACGCAGGGGTCTGTTGACCGGAGTACCTTAGCCGCAGATATCACGGCGGAAGGTACAGTAGTTCAAAGCACCTGGCGGGTTTGCCGGTCCATTTTGCGATTGACTGTTCTCCTGAAATGGAGCCGGGGACTCTTACTTGGGAGACCGCCGCCGGCGAACCCAACACGGGTTTGGCGGGGTGGTAAGGGAGTACGGAGTAAAGCAGCAGGATATGCGTAATCCTTTCTGCCATGACATCACCCACCAACCGCCGCTGGTGCCACCCCCTTCTCGCGTGTGCCAGCGCAGAGGTCCAGGATTAACTCGTAAGCTCAAAGGCTAAACCCCCAATTTCCCAGGCCCCCTCCCTCCCAAATGTTCTAGCGTGCTTCGAGTTGTCATCCATTGGATGGTGCGACGGCGGAAGGGGAAATCGGAGGCCCCGCTGTACCGCAGCGCTGGAACTGCGCTACACGAGGACGCCGTCTGGTTAGCTGGAGGGCACAGATGGGCCATCCCCTGACGAGTGGGTCCGGCGCTTCCTCGAACACGCGCAGCCACTCGTTTGAGATGACAGTGTCGCTGGCAGGGGGCGATCTCATATTTCTCCAGACCGGTCAGGACGCTGGGGTGGGGCTTCCTTCTCATTTGACGAAACGCAGAGAGAGCGAGAGAGGGAGACCGCGCTCCGTTATTTTTAGCCAGCTGAGCGAGCCAGAGAAGAAGGGCAGAAGATTTTTGACCAATCAGATCAGATGAGTCTCGGTCCTGGCAGTCCTGTGCGAGTTACTGCGTACACTGTGATACTGTACATTGAATGGAGAAACCCGTGCTCAATGATTCTTCAGTAGAGCCGCACACGAGTACGCAGGACCCAGAGGACGAATCCAGCGCTCATCAATGCTTCGTTGGTCCAACCAAGGTTAAGGGACTGCATACACAACAAGCATGGCGGTCAACCCAATGCGCCGCGACCGAAGGAGCCGCATATTAGTTCGTAGTACGCGCAACCTGTATATTTAGAAACCGACGATCAGAGGAAGCGCATCTGCAGTCACGACGGTGAGCATGCAGGCAGGCACGCAGGCAGGCAGGCAGGACAGGCCGCTGAGTCTTTTCTTAGAGACTTCAATGGACCGCTGTTGAAGCTTGTGTGTTCTTTCATTTGAAAGCTAGCCGCAGGACAAGTTCAGCGCTCGACAGCTGGGGTACTGTAGTCCACCAATACCTAAGTACCGCGTTCTGTGTGTCCGTCTAAATTATATGGAGTACCTACTTTCCATAAAGTATGTTGCTGGGGGCTTCTTCAGCTCATGCCAGGCAGTCAAGGTACTCTACATGAGCTTCTCTGGAAATTAATTTAAACAGTGAACTGTTGTCGATCATGGTATTCGAGTCTTCCCAGTCAGTAGTATGCAGCTGGCGGTCAGTCGAGTCTGTTAGTCAGTGGACCGACCGTGTTGTTCTTCACGATCATACTGACCTTCTCCAGTGTGACCTGCGAGTGAATGATATATATATATATAGATATAGCGTTACTACGTGCATGTACAGGGTTCTATAATGCATCGACCGCTACACTACGGAGTATTATCCGGTACGCAGCATCAGCATCCCTGTTGCAGTATTGCGGTATACAGTTACTCCATACGGATGCCAGTAACTACACCTCCATCAGCCACTCACTCGCTCACCAACTCAATCACACTCACCTACCCACTCACTTGCTCACACCTTCGTAGTATTAAAGACATAGCCCTCAAACACGGCCATGACTTTGACACTGTCGTAAAATCCCGTGACCTCGACGATCTTGCGCTCCCCGTCGTCCCCGTCGACCTCGGTCCTCATCAACCACGCATACTGCATGTCATAGTTGGCGCCGTTCTTGCCGTACACGCCCTCACTTCGCCAGTTGACGACGGCCCAGTCGCCGTCGGCGAAGATATGCTCGACGATCGGCACGGGCAGCGTCACCAGCACGTCGCGCAGCGGGGTCAGCACCCTGTCCACGTACGTCTGCTTGCCGTCGTACGTGCCCGCGATCGGACTGCTCCCCGTGACGGTCCAGACCAGGTCGTCCGAGAGGGCGGCTGCGAAGGAGGCTCCGAAGTTGTCGAGCGCCACGGCCGTGAAGAGCGACTCGACAAAGGACCGCGTCGATTCCGTCGTCGAGTCGGTGCACTTGTGTGACGGTGAGGGGTGCGCTTCGGCCATCATCCTCGTCATGAGCCCCGAACGTGGTGGTGCGCCGAAATGTTTGTGATGGTGAGTGCCGAGGTCAGGGTGATAAGAGTTGTGGTGGCTGTCGCTGAAGACCGAGGACCAGCACGACAGGCCAATGAGTACGAGGGAGATGGTTGCAAGGTGGCGGAGCGGGACCAGCGTCGGCATCTGCATGGTTTGTGACAAAGTACGGAGTAATGTGTGCTATGTGCTGTGTACCGTGCAACAATGGTACACCGGTCGGTCCAGTCTCTCTTGGCTGGTGTATGTTCGCAGCAGTATCCGGAACCAGAAGATCACAGCAGTAAGTACAGATACATACTGTAGGATGAAGTCCCTTTCCAATGATGTGGGAGAGCTTCAGCCCACCACCAGTTATATATCCATGCCTTTTCTGCTTCTCTGCTTCTTCTCGTGCATATTCTTCCCCATCTTCGCTTAATGGTTTGTTTCCATCGGGTTCATCTTCACGTCCGCTCTTGTGCCACGTGTTGTGTTGGCCAGCGAAGCATCCTCGACGACTTGCCGAAAGCTCCTGCGTGCATTAGGCGCAGCGCTACTGCGCTGAGATGAAAGTGGTCATCAACACTTACCCCTCGGCAAACGGAGAGGCGGGCACATACACATCTAGGGTGAGAAAGGGCACGGAGTTGAGGTGAGAAGAGAGTAAATCAACAAAGGATTGTTACCTTGGACCCGAACACTTGACGACGACACCGCGAGCTTGAATGCAGCGGTGAAGTACATGTACATATCAGGTGCGCGGGTGAGTAATTAGGAAGTGAACAGGTGAGTGATGGAGATGACCGACACCGAAGATGGGGAGATGTGGTCTCGGCCTTTTTCACACCGCTTCAAACGACAAATTCCCGAGGCTGTTCGTCTTCGTCGGGGTACCTGCGTCGGTGCTGCATCGCCAGGCCTTTAGCTAATGGAGGGCTTGCTGAAGAAATGGTAGAGGAGCGATGGAGGCGGACAGAAATCGGTAAACCTCAGCGGTGCCTTGCGAGACGGTTCAAGTATGTACTGTGTTTCTGTCGCTATCATGCTGCGCACATATCTGCTCGTGAATCTGTTCGTCCACCCTATGCTGTCTGTCTCTTAAGTATTCCCGGCGGTGATTGAGGCTCGGACGTGTGCCTAACAGGAACAGTACCAGGTATGCATTGGATGCACACGTCCTGTGGTGGTCAAGTTAGTTCTCAAAGCATCTCGAAACTCAAGAATGTCACCGAGAAATTCAATTCAAAGGCACCGAAATCACTAGTATTATAAAACACAAAAGGCGCTTTGGGTTATATGCCTTCGAGCTGAAGAATCCTAGCGTGGACGAACGCAGGAAGAATTGGACGAGGGCGCATCACTGCCAGCACCACCATCGTCTATACCGCGTGAGATTGCGCCTGTATTTTCGGCCAACTCTCTCACACTCAGACATCACTTCTAGTGCCAAATGAAGCAGAGGTTTCCCTAAGTGAGTGGATTGGTGATGGCGAACATACCGACGCGCTGAGCCATTCAAGTGGCGCCGACCTGGACGGTCTTGTATCTGCTTTGATGATATTGGCACCAGTATCAGGTTGTCCAAGCGATCATCAACAGTCGCGTTGCAGCCAGCCTTTCAATCATAGAACCCTTGCTGTTGCGTACAAGTCTCTGCCAATTACTGCAAGACGGGGTATACGTCTATCGCTGGATAATGTGAGCTGAGCGTTCGATAATCCAATGATATTAGTTCAGTATCAAGCGTTGAGCATTAAACGGGAATGAACTTTGGCTAAACATGCGACTCGGATACCATCAGATAGGAATGGCCCTCATCACTCCAGAGCCCGGGAAGAATATCCATCACAGTCGGAGTCTTCTCGCTGGTGGAAGTGTAACTGAAGCGTTGTGAACACAAGACCCTGAGAGCAATATCTTTCTGGATGTCGATCAGTATTCAGTGATAGCTGAGCCGGGATAAAGGCAAAAAGAGTGCCAGTCGCTCCTCCATGGGCCCGGCTAGAAATATCACATCTTGCATGCACCCCGACGATGAAGCCGCCGCTCGCTCACAGATAAATATCCAGACACAGTCGTCAGGACACAAGGATGGACATCTCCGATAGGCGAACATTCACGGGAAACGGGTACGAGTACGTTCAATGGATGGTGGGGGAAAGCAATCTCGGCTTCGGATAAATACAGCTTCCGGCTTGGCAGCCTTATCGCTATCAGCCGCAGCGCATTCGCATTCGCTCGTTCCAACGAGGCACATGTGCGCCTACTACCTAGACCCCGGCGTCGCCGCAACCTACGAGGTACAATCTGGCGTTTTTGATCCTTCGTTCGTATGACATAAGATTGCCTTCTTGCGTGGTACTCCGGTCGATATTTTACTTCCCGCGGACGGAATCATCTTGCGCCGCGCCCAGTTTGTTGGTATACTCGGTGCGCCATTGTGTTGGATGTACTCAAGTTCAACACGCGAGCAACCCAGATTGTCTGTCCTGGGTGTCGTCTTGGCCGGCTGTTCTACGAAGCATATCACAGTGCTGTGCACTTGATTGGGTTTCCGTTGGGTCCTTCAGTTCCAAGCTCTACTTGGATCATACCCGAATTCGCAACTACGTACCTGTTCCGAGCTTCAACTCGAGATCAAGATGCCTTCGGTCTCTTTCGCGACCTTTCTTATTATCTGCCGTAAGTGCTTCGGGATTCTGGGAGCGACATGTGTGAGGGTACCGGACTGACAGAATCATCCTACAGCCACCTCATTCTTCCTGGGCATCCTCTTCTCGCTCTTCCCTTACGACTACCCGCTACTGTGGTCCTCGCTGCCTACACCGGCGTCGCACTTTGACGCCATCGAAGCGCATCTAAAATTGCTGCACAATGCGCCGAATCTAATCGTGCGCATCTTGCACATCATGCTGGGCATGGGCCTCCTCGGCCTGATCATCAAGCTCTACAAGCCGAGTGAGTCGAATATGCTCTTCGACGGCGGCAGTCTGGTGCTCTACATGGTCGCGGTGATCGTGTACATTGCGAACATTGTCAAAGGGCTGAGGATCGTCAGCGAGGGCAGCTATGGGCTGGGCTTTGAGCAGTTGACGCAGGATGAGCTTGACGATGTGAATACCAGGGGCTATGACGTGAACACTGGGGATAGTGTGCTCGGGCGGGAAGACAATCTGAAGGTCCTGGCCGCGAGTAATACGATTTTGGCGCTGGTGCTGGTCGGCGTACTGGTCCTTCAGGTTGGCCAGTGGTACGCGGACAGGACGGACGAGAACGCGCTGAAGGCGTTCCAGGAGAAGGAGAAGGCAGAGCGGGAGAAGAAGGAGCAGGAAGGGTCGAGTCCCACGGTGAAGAGGTCGAGTAGTGGGAAAGAGGGGAAGAAGACGAAATGAGACAGGGTATAGGAGGCTTTATTTTAGGACTCTGAGTTGAGAGGTGTGATGACTCTGTAAATGAAAACCGTGCTCACTGCTGGATATCTCATCACTTGGTCGGAAAGAGGTACGCTTTCGTGCACCGTCGCCGTCTCTCCCGTCTGGGTCTGGGGGCTCCATCAGTTCGAGATCTCATGCGCGGCCTGTTAACATTTCAGCCTCAACACCGCGGGCATTGATGCTGTTTTGCGGAGGCGTCGCATCGTCCGTTGAAAGGCGATTTCAGAGTATCGCCCATCATGATGCTTCGACGCGTGCACTGTCCTCTATGCAGTCCACTCACTCACGGTTCGTTACACGAGCAGCGAGGTGGAAATGAACCCCGATCCGAGCCGATGTGATTGGCTGGGATGCGGCATCGGCGTCGACTGCGGCCAGCCTGCATCATCTTCCTTCCAACCGGATTGCGCATATTATCAGATCTCAGTGAACGTCTAGCACGCAGTACAGTTGTATTCGTTGTCACCGATAGATCACGATGCCCTCCATGACCGGCTCCAAACCCGTGGCCGAAATACCTAGGTTCTTACTGCCTCGTTTGACGTGGCAGCCGGTGTCGCATGCCCGGCCTTCAACTCAGACACTTACGCCACGACTTCCTATCTACGAGACAGTCAGAGCGCCCTCTTTCACAACTGCTTCCAAGCCGCGGCCAATATACACCAGTAACAAGGCGTCCCGGAGCCCGCATCCTAGAGCACTTGCTGCTCGCTCAAAAAGACCTCGAGCCCTGGACCAACCACTCCCGGCAGACTCGTCGCCCATCCGCCACAATGGTGTCTACGTCGCCGCGTACAAGCCTGCTCGGAAAGCATTCTCGACGACGGCCGTGCAGCGCAAAGCCCACCACTTTGACACCTTGAAATTCGTGCAAAGACTCAAGGACGAAGGGTTCACAGAAGACCAGGCCGTGGCCATGATGCGCGTTCTGAACGATGTGATAGAAGAGTCCATCCAGAACCTCACGCGGACCATGGTCTTGAAGGAAGACGCCGAGCGAAGCACATATACCCAAAAAGTTGATTTTGCCAAACTGCGCAGCGAACTGTCCAATGCCGACAGTACCGAAGCGCAGTTGACCCGGTCGAGCCACGATCGGTTGACCAGTGATTTGGCCAAGCTAAATTCGAGGCTGCGGGACGAAATCAGCCGCACGCAGGCCAGCGTTCGCCTGGACTTGAATCTTGAGAAGGGCAGGATTCGCGAAGAAGCCAACGGGCAGGAGATGCGGATCAAGGAGACGGAAGCGCGGATCGAGCAGGAGGTCGCCTCGCTCAGAGAACGAGTCGAGGCCGTCAAGTTCTCGACCCTGCAGTGGCTCATGTGAGTACATATCCGTTTGGGGGCATTCGTTTCGGCACCCACAAATCCACAAGCATACTGACGCATATTATAGGGGTGTCTGCACCGGCACGGCGGCTCTTATTCTGGGTGCCTGGCGTTTGCTGATGTAAATGGACAAACATAACCTCTCAGCGGGAACTTCGACTGTCGGATAAGTGGCAGTCACTGGAAAGCCGTGTCCCTTCGGTGCGGCCTTACGAACATCTCCACTGTTGAGTTAAACTCCCGAACAGGCGAGGCAGCAGCTGGAGGCGCATGAATAGAGCAGCGTCTTCAGGTTGTCAACATCTTTTTACGAGAGTCAACGTACGCCGTCTTGTCCCCACGGAACTTGGAGTTTGAGATGAGCAGCATCCATTCACGGCTTCCACCCCAAGTATAACTAACTGCCAAACTCTGCTCCGCTCAAAGAAATTTATCACACAGCGCTCGTCGCGCTTGGAGGCATGTCGATTCATGGTCTAAACTGAACTGTTCTGAAATCTTTGTACCAATCCCCAAGTCGCAGAGACAATTGCCATGTTAAGTTTGCTACACTCTCTCGGCGGGGCAGGCTGCGTACAAAAGGGAAACACCACTCTGCGTTTAAACGTTTTAAGGTCGACCCTCGAACCGCCTGTGAGGCTGAGGCTGAGGCTCAGGGTGGAGCAAGGTAGTAATTAGAGCTACTTTCACCAGCGGTGTCGCTACCTCCATCTTCGCTGTTTGTGAGTTCCTCTGGTGTGAACTCAAGAGACTTTGGACGGAGGACAATGAGGTACACCGTACGGGGTAATGAGTCAGCCTCTGGAACGATGTACCTACCATGTGGGTGTCTATGAGCCCGCCTGGGCATATCCGGTCATGTGACTTTGTCACGCGATGTATCCGGCTCAACTTCGGGGCTCGTCGACTGCTGGGTGACACGCGTGTGACTCGAGTTCGAACATATATGCAGCATATTGCGGTGCACATGATTCAGTCACGGCTGCTTGAAGCCACAGCAAACGCATTGCCTGCCGGAACGTTCTGGCGGAGTATTGCAGTATGCGCCGTCTAAAACTTCAAAGTCAGAACCCTCGTCCCTTCGCTCTGTACACTCTATGAACGGGTCCCCATCGCGATGATGAAGAAGTCGTTCATTGAACGAATATTTCCCCATCCGCCTGGAAGTGCAGATTCTCTACCGCAGTTCCACGATGACTATTCGGACTCATCTCCGCGCTCGGCGGCGTCTCCTCCACGCATTCTCATGCAGGACTCAAGTAGAGCGTCGTCCTCTCCTGACCGCCGCCGCAATGCATACCTTTCTCCTTCGCAACATCATGCAAAGCTGAGCTCGTCTCTAGTGCGCCACGATGACCCGTTCCTCCAGGTCGAACGGGCGTCCAAGAACCTTGAAAGAACGTTCCAAAGTCTTCTTGATGCGCAGTCGGAAGGTCTCAGTGCGGGTGGCACTCGATGGGAAGAGGCAGACGATGTGTCCTCGGTCGGAAGTCCTACACCCACACCGTCCGTTGCAACGACACCTCTGAGCTCTGGCACGGTGGCAAGGCCCAAAACAGTACCGATACGACAACCAAAGCCCAAGAAGATCACCCTGCGAGGAGCACGCCGAGGGCTGGAGAAGTCCATGCGGGAGTTTGCAGCCCTCAAGCAACATGAGCTCTCCCTCATCGACCAAGAAGTTGTAGCCAGGGACAACGCCATCAGACAAGCATCAGACTTGAGAGACCGAAGACAACTGCTAGAAGATGACATAGACAAAATCAAGTCCGCTGAAGGACCTGTCAGCTTAAGGACCCAGGTCGAGGCAGTGGAGCAGGAAATTCAGCAGCTGGAAGCAACACTACTCGAGCTGAGATCCAAGCACAGAGTACTCGTGAACCAGCTCCGCGAAGTCGAAAGCTCTCGGGACTCCGAATTGAGCTCTTATACCGCATCCCTGGCTCTCAATGAGAATCAGGTCAAGTCATTCCTGAAACGACCACCAGTTCTGCAAAGCCTGAATGCGGGTCGTGAACCCGGGATGTACGCCCTCAGGCCGGAGAGGCGGACACTGCAAATGGCCCAGGAACAATGGTCGAATGAAGTTGAGGCATTAGCGCGGAGAAAGGCCAGCGTTGAGATTGAGAAGAGCGCACTAGAGGAAGGATCCAAGTTGTGGCGCGACGCGATGCAGAGAATCAGGGAGTTCGAAAAGGATCTGAAAACACACACGCGGGAACTGGCAGCTCAGTCTCAGTCACAGCTTCACCAATCGAGTCTTGAGAATGAGGCGACCCAGTCAACTACATCTGGAGACCTATCCATGACAGTCGTGCTTGCCAAGCTCTCTGCGCTGATATCGTCACTGGAAAAGGATCTCCAGCACGCTGAAGCCAACAATTGGAATCTACTCATTTGTGCCATTGGCGCTGAATTAGCAGCGTTCGAGCAAGCGCGCAACCTACTTCAGGAAACCGCAGGGATACCGTCAGCAAACTCTGGATCGATTGAGAGAATTGGGCAGCCCGCTCCACAAGACGAACGTCGTCCAGTAGACAACGAGTCGCACGATGACGAGCCCAGCCCCGACCTCCTGGGTGGACAGCTCGAAGACATGCTTGAGCGCAACGGGACCAGGAGTCCCGGCGGAAGCAGCAACCACAGCCTGGAAGATACACTTCGCGAGTTCGGCAACCCTCGGGACAAAGGGAAGCAGGGAACAAAAGACGAGCATGCGGAAGGGCTGGAACATGGTCCGCTATCGGGATCTTCGCACCATCGGCCCCGACAATTTGCCCAGCGTGGTGTACATGAGAGCGACGCGGGCTTGAGTCCTGTACCAACAGCAGCACCTTCCAACATTCGACCAAAACCTCCAGATCGGAGGATGACATCTGAGAGCGAGGATGACGAGCCCGGGCCGGAGTTTCTACTGTCGCATTCTTGATATCATCAGGCCTTGGAAGCGAGCCGCGAGCCACCTGCCCTTCGAACTATCAGAGACACTGTACTGTATCACCATAGCAACCCTCAGCGATTTTTATGAGCGCAGCAGCGGGGGGTCATTATCCCTTGGTCGGGTTTAGCGAGAAGTGTCACTTTGAACCTTCTCTTGTTGAAAACATAGATCTCAGGCCGAATTGGACCTTCGACCAGCTCACCCTTGACTTTTTGTTTCTCCCAGCACGGCGTAACTTCCTCCGCCATGTGCCTCATCGTGGCCTACTATTCCATCCCACTCCCTCTCCCTCATCCAGAGAGACCGGGCTAGCCGCTGATGGATGGGAGTAAGGAGCGGGAAACGAGGAGCGAGAAACGAGAAGCGAGGTGGAATGGGTGGGTTGTCCTGCGCCGAAGGTAAAGGTGCAGAGTCGAGCAACGCAAGACGAAATGAACGAGTACCTACTACTGCATCTGACATACAGACATTGTGCTGTGGATGCGGTGGGGACGTTTGCATCCGACGCCTCCCACCAGATATTATCCACCCAGCATTTCGTCCGCGAAGACACCCGTGCTCTCGCCCTCAGACCCCAGAAGAACAGCCACCGCCACAACCAAGCCGACTACTGTAGGAAAGCACATATAAGAGGGAAATGCCAGTGCTGTTGACTGTTTGGCTGTAGAGGAGCATCGCAGGGGCGTGCTCGTACTCGTACCTGTAATGGACCACTTGAGAAAAGAACACAGAGAAACCCAAGGGATGGATACCCTGCTGTGGCTATAGCCCTCTCGCCGCGCAGCGACATGATCAGGCCACGACGACGCGCCTGCTGAGCTCTTCCGGTTCCGAACTCACCCCTAGCTCGGTACGTAGTCGCATGCCACCATTCTGTCATCTCGGTGTTGAATACCAAGGTTGTAAGCCGACTGACCAGAATGGCGGTGCCGGAGCGTTTGCCATGTTGCGACGTTCCCCGTAGGTAGCCAAATAGACGTCCTGCCTTCTCAACAACACAATTCGCGCTGTCATTCCTGGGCCAATCGAATCGGTGATGCGAAAGACGGCAATATCTCAGGAATTGTGGATTGCTCAAAGGCGGAGTGCGAAGCGATTCCTCTGGCCTAGACCCAGACCCAGACCCAGACCTGGTAGGGGCAGTGGTGCGGACGTGGTGCGGACGTGGTGGTGTCGGTATCGGTATTGCGGATGAGGACATACCTTACCTTACCCCCCGACTCGTCGTCGCTTGAATCGCTTCGCAAACACCATTCTGCCCGTCCAGGAAGACTTGGACGTTGTTTCCCGTGAGGTTCCAGTTCGTGAAGCGAGCGCAGGTAATGACCAGGTCGTGAGATAGGCGAAAACCAGACAACTCGACCAGACAACCAGCGGTCTGTGCTTCAGCGCCATATCGAGGGGCATTCCCACCCTGACGCGGACGGCTACCTATTCGCACCAGAGATCTCAATGTGGACGCAGTTGGCAACGGTCACAGCACGGCACATTACACATCACACATCACATGGTCAGGTACCAAGGTAGATGACTAGGTATGTCTTCAAGGCTCCCACTGTAACTACCTAGGTGATTGAATATGGACAAGGAAATTCGTGCTCGTCATGCAACAACAGGATTGGTACTCCGTAGGGGTTTGAGGAACGAAACAGCTTGTTCGCTCGTGTCATAAGGTTGGTCCTCTGAAGGTGTTTGTGTGGTGGTAGTTCGATTCTGGGTTTGACGTTGACTTTGGTTATGGTTGTGATTCTGACAGGTTCTGATTGTGTTGTGGTGGTCCCTCTTCTCGGCCTCGTAGCTTGATGTGTGTAAAGGAGAGTAGCCAGCGAGGCATCCATGGTTTCACGAGACATTTCTTCTTGTGCGGCCATAAGCGGGGGCCTCCCCCTTTGTCTTCACTCAACTCTCCGATTCGAGCTTGCACTCCAACTTCGACTGCGATTTCAATTTCAATTTCATCCCCACAATTCCTCTTGGTTGGGCACCATGTCCGGACCTCCATACTTCTTGACTTCCTTGCCGACCTCCATGTCGAATTTGTCCCTCTTGATCAATTTGACCAGTTCGATAGCTGGCTGCTTGGGCCCGCTTCCTTGGGTCTGCTCGGCCTCCACATCCCGGGCAATCAGTTTGTAGTCGCTGATGACGCCGTTGTAGAAGCCCCGGCTCGTCGCTCCTGTCACCGCGGGACCGTTCCAGCCCTTTCGAGATTCGAAGTACATTTCGTCCGTCTCGGTCTCGATGTCTGTGGTCTCATCGGAGGTGAGGTCATCGGCCGGGAGCGAGTCTGATAGATCGCCTTCGTTGCGTTTCATGTTCAAAGGAGGAGATGCACGGAGGGGAATCATGTCCTCGCGCGGACTGGCACGGCGATGAATGGGGTCGACTGACATGGCCCGTCTGGTGAAGTCGCCAGAGAAGCGGTGACGAGTCACTGGCTCGCGAGAGATTGCTCGGCGGCTGAATCTGGCCGGGGACAGATCACGGCCAGCAGAAGCCCCGCGGGAGTGGGCTCGTCGAGTTGCAGGACCTGGAGACTCGGCGCGAGGACGGAGAGGCTCCATGGAAAGGTCACGGCCAGCCCGTGGCTCTGCAGGCTCTGCGATCGCTGCAGGAGCAGGAGTCGGCTCGCGAGCTGCGTCTCCTCGACCAACTGCTTCTTTGGAGTAGGAGCGGCCACTCATTGCTCTCGGAGAATCTGCCCGTCGTCTTCCGCTATCTCGTGAGGGTGCTCTGCGACGGACGGGGTCCGCTGATGGAGCTCGCCGTGCCAAAGGCTCCCGTGACGCAGACCGACGTCCATCATGGTGTTCTGCAGCTCCTCTGGATGAAGCTCGCATATACGCCACCTCACCGATGCCCGGTCCTCTGGAAGCAGGCCGTGACGGGAAGTTGGCGGTGCTACGTGAGTCGGGCCTCTCAATGGGAGCCTCGATTGGACTGGTTACTCGGGATGGTGGGAGTGATGGTGATGGGTGGCGAGCTTGTTGTGCCAAACGCTCGGTCAGAGTCGAGACGTCGATGAAATCCTCGGTAGTGGTGTCGATGGCAGAAGCAATGCGATGGGCAATCGGGGTGTTGTCCATGGGTGTTGCGTTGTTGCTTTCGGACATGCCATTGTATTTCTCTGCCACAGGGCTCAGGATGGACAGAGCTGAAGCCGGTTGGCTCTTGTTGATCGGAACCGAAGTCTGGATCTGTGGCAGACTTCTCGGCCCAGGGTGCTTCTCGGGGAAGATGGCCCTGGTAAAGAATGTGCTGACATCGTCATACACCGGCGATCGAGTCTGGACAACTGGTGACACGGCCCGATAAACTTCAGGGGTTGGTCGTGATTCCGCAACGATGACTTCATCGATGCTGGTGGCAAGGCTGGGGAGAGGGGGCCGTGACTCCGCGGTGACGACTTTCTCGACAATCTGAGCGGCCTGGGCTTGTTGTTTGGCTCCGGATGATGATCTTCGATGTGACCGGCGCACCCAGGGCAGAGGAATGGTGATGGTTATTGTTCCTCGTTCCTTTTGGTTGACTGGAGGCGTTGACTGGCGAAGCTCTTCGATGCTGACCTTCCCGACATCCTCTTTGATGCTCAGGTCTGGGGAGTCGCTGACCAGTGTTTTCTGGGAATCGGGACTGCCGTGGGCGTGGTAGACGACGTTGTCTGGGTCGTCCTCCAGATAATGCTGACTCCAGCCACCGCCGTTGGGAGCGCTAATCGAGGCGTCCCCCCATCTAGAATGAAGCTGCTTCCCAGACTCTGATTGAGACCTTGAAGGCCGACGACGGGACGACATCAACCCTTCAAACACGGTGGCCATGATCGAGCAGTGTGAGCCGGGAAGTGGTTGAAAGACTTTGGGTATTAATGTCGAGGCCGTGTAAGAAGAGCCGCCAGTATCAAGAGGAAAGCGCTGACCTCGGATCACTGGGTGGAGGTGCTCGGTCGTGTGGCCTTGCAGCTGGAGTAGGAGCTCAGGGTCACACCAGGCGTCTATTGCGGGACATGAAACCAGGCTGACGGGAAATAGAACACCGAGGATATATTATTGCACTCGAATATCGCTGTGGTAAAATTGAATGTTTGAAGCATGTAAACATGAGGGAATATGGGCTAGAAATAAGGCGGCACAGGTACTCACAGCTGTGTTTATTTTTGAACGCGTGGTCCTGCTCGTCCCAGAAAGGAGGTAGTCGTGGTACAACAATAGCAGAGGCTCTAGACTTCTTGTCGCCCTGCTGCCCGTATTCTGTGCATCTCGACAATCGCGAAGCTTCATTTGGGGGGTGTGGATGCAAGGCACCATCGTCTGCGCCGCCACCCCAGCGAAAGGGAGGCCAGGCTGCTGGCCGTTATTGGGCCATCTCGCAAGCGGCGTCTCGAAGCCATCGACGATTGGACGCCCGGAAAAGATGAGACAGATCGGATGCAGGAGAGTCAGGCTGCCTGCAGTCGGGTAGTGAAGGTGCAGAACGAATCAGCCTCATCAACAACGTGTAAGCGCCGGGGAAGGCCAGCGACGTTGACGAAGTGCCAGAATCGGTGGATATGATGGCGGCGGCACACGGGCTGACGAGTTGGGCAGGTCGTGCGAGGAGATCCCCTCCCGCGTCTATTGGTGCGTATCTATATTTAAGTGCGCCAATCACAGCCAATGTGCGACATCCACTTAAATTAGTGGATCACGCTTGGCGGAAGCTGCACCCACTCAGACCACCATAGTAGGTTGACTGTTCTGTTCACGAACCCTGCTCATACTTAGGACGAACCGGAGCCTCTTCAGGTGGCATCAGTATGACGAAAGATCGAGAATGGGAGACGAGCACATATGTGGAATACTGATTGATTGGAAGCAAGCCTCAGACGATAAACTTTTGCACTGTAGACGAGACGAACACCTTGGCCACGCGATTGGAGCTGTATCATGGCCGGTGATGTACGATATATATCATCGCTCGTTCGCCTCATGCGACGGGGGTTATCAGTTGGCGGCCGACTCTGACCACTGGGTCTTGGTTTTCTGGTCCTCGGGCTTCAGCTGTAGCAGAATTGCGTCAGTTGTGCGTCAACGGGCCTGGACCGACGGGGCGACTTACTGCTGTGCGATGGTCGCTGCCACCAGCCACGGTGCCTTGCAACTTTCCCAATAACGTGTCCGGCTCGTAGTCGTCGACGTTGATATCCACATATCCGCGGGGCGCGACATCTCGCGTGACAATGGCGAATGCTCGACCTGCTTATGCGTCAACCAACATGGCCGCATATTGTGAGGCACGCTTCTGTACCGTTGACGCTGGGATCGGATACAATCCTCATCAGGCATTGAGCGGCATCATCCACCGTAGCGAAGGAGATGCCTTGGCCCGTCAAGTGTTGAACAACCGGCTTGCTCAAAATTTTGGTCTCGACGAACCTGGATGGGAGTGTTAGTTGTGGCCAAGCACGACCAGACTCCTCTCCTTACCATGGTCCGATATAGTTCACTCGAATATTGTGCACATGCTCTGTCTGGCGAAGAGACCGCATGATGCCGCGGAGACCGAACTTGGATGCGATGTACTGGACTGCTCCGGCCAGGTCAAGATACCCCGCCAGACTGCCCTGCAACACGAGCACCTGGTCCAGCGGGCCTTCTTTGTTCAGCGCGTTCTGTCGACGGAAATAATGGAGGGCTAGCTTGATTGTGTACAGCACGCCGATCAGATTGACGTTGACGATGTTCAACTTCGGTTCTTCGGGCTCCTCGGCCTCAACTGTGCCAGGAATTGTCAGTAAAATGTCTTCTCGGTTCTTCTCGTCCCCCTCCCTTTCTACCTGCCGTTGTTGAAAAAGACTGAATCAGCTCCGCTGATGCCAGCGTTGGCCACGACAATGTCCACTCTTCCCGAAGGACTCGACGAGATTGCTGTCTTGAAGGCGGCCAATTGATCAGCCCAGACAGTGACGTTGGTCTTGACGAACTTGGCGGAGCTACATCGAGGCTTCAGTGCTGAACCGATAGCATTGCGGGCACTGCGGCTGCTCACCCGTCGAACTCCTTCTCGAGCCTTGTGCCTTCTTCGGTGTCAAGGTCTGCAATCACGACGAAGGCTCTGATCTCGGGCATCAACGCCTTGTTCAACGGCATCTGGGACGTCTCCTCTTACCCGGCTTTCGTCAAGGCACGGACATATGATTCACCGATACCGTTGGCTCCTGACCCGGAACATCAGCCTCGGGGCGTGGCGCGGACACGTTCCAAACGTACCTCCGGTGACCACGGCAGTCTTGCCCTTGACATGGCTTGTATCGAAATCCACGTCGGTATTGACGGGTCCGTTATTAGCGTACGGCTGCATCTTGCTCTGTCAATGGTGATATGATAGCCTTGGGTTAGCAGATCCAGCAGTAGTACTCGGACCGGGACAGACCAGGCGTCCAAGGTGCGTTTAACAGATGTTCGAGAGGCTCCAAATTCTTCTTGCTCGGCACTCTGGATATATAGTCCTCCTCCAGCCAAGACACTCAGCTTGAGAGACACATACATTAGCCTCGGTAGATTTCCTGACGTGTCAGTCTTCCATGTGGGGGTGTGATGTGTGTTGGACGGGTGGATAGGTGCTTGAGGGACAGCCCTGTAGCTTAGTCACATGCTCTTCGTCAGCCCTAGAGGCCGAGAGCACCAAGGACACTCTGGACGTCGGGACGCCTTGAGCGAGAATCGAGCCAGGACGCCAGCGGAACTCAGGTGGGGAAGCCAGGGCTGGCATGGATACGGGCTACCAAGAAGCGATGTTACCGCACACGGAAGGGGGTAACTGTAGCACTCCGTAAATGTTAGCTTCCAACGAAGTGGACACGCGGGGAAACCGCAGGAAGTGACGGAGTAGAGGGCGAGTGCCCATGCAATTCCGGTGAGTGGTGCGAGGTCCAGGACATACTCCGCAACTCGTAGTACTGTACTCCGTACTGTGCAGTGAGATGAAAAGCAGTAGAGGCAGGACACCCCTGTTCCCTACGAGCCTAGCTGGATCCCTGGGCCCGCCCGGACCACCTGGCACTCGCCGGCCACAGCCTTGTTGGGCGGTCGTCATCCTATTCAACTCTGGTCCTCCGTAGTTCGGTACACTTTTGATACTCCATACATGCGTCCTTGTTCGATACTGTACTCCGTACTCCGTCCACCTCCCCATCTCCTTGTCGAACGCACGACAATGCCGCTCCTGTCCTCCACTCTCCTCCTCCGCACACACTCGCTCACCTTCCTCACATTCGCCTACTACCTCGTCACCTCGCCCGCGCAACTTCTCTCCTCCACCCCGATATGGCTCCTCGGCGAGAGCATGTCCCTACGGCCGGCCTCGTACGCACCCGAACCACAACCGCACGACAGCCCAAGCAGCAGCAGCAGCAGCAGCAAGAGCAGCACGAGTAACCGACTGAGCAGCCTGATCACAGGGCACGGCACGGCGACCGTCCACGCCGAACGGGAGCTCTGTGCGCTCCTCGCCGTGATCCTGGTCGGGTACGCCGTGACGATCTTCCTGTTCGCGGGTGACTTGACGCTGCCGTCGACGGCGGCGCCTCCAGCATCGTCGCGCGGCGGCGGCGGGAAGGCCTCCTCGGGATCCGGAGCGAGCGTCACGACGGTGGCGGCGTCATCCTCCCGCTACGGCGAACAAGTGCACACGCTGCTCACGGCGCAGTCGCGCTGGTTGTCTCTCGCGGGGCTGCATGTGCTGGGTTCGTCCGGCCTGGTGGCGTGGATATACTTGTTCCACTCGCAGGCGCATCATTATTCGCCGGCCACCACCGGCCAGTCCCTCCCCTCGAGCAGTTTGTCGGGGTTTGGGCTGCTCGCGAACCGGGTGACGTTTACGGCCGCGCTGGTCGACATGTTGTTCTGGGGGTATTTGTGGACCGTGTTGAAGGACGAGGGCCGCGAGGTTGCGAAGGCGCTGGCACGGAGGAGAGAATTCGAGGACGATGGAGACGAGTGATTGATTGACAGCCCCGATGCGGCAGGGGGAGTGTTGTCCTGACCACTACGGGGCTTTACACATGATGAATACCAGAATCTGTACAGGGAAGAGTTAGGACAGCGGCTTGTACAGTACAAATGGTGGGATGGGGAAAAAACTGTGTGCATTGTACTATCACATTAAGATTGATTTGTCTGCATATAAAGAGATCACCCAAAGCATGTATGGAATCAACCGAGCACGACAAATTCAAGAGACATGCCATATCCCCACTATTCCAACCTACGCTCATTTCACTATATATATATCGAGCTCTTCTGATCTTCTTGGATGCTGCCAGCTCACAACAGCGCAGCCAAGCCCAGCATACCCGCTCCCATGGCACCAAATCCGACGGCCAACTGATTCGCAGCACCGGTAGGGCTCGCCGCCGCAGAGCTGGCAGCGCTGGCGGCGGAAGACGCGGCCGAGGACACAGAGGAGCCGGCGCTGGAAGCGCTCGAGGAGGCAGCGGAAGAGGCGCTAGCGACACTCTCAGAGAGAGGGGTACTTGTCGCGCTACTCGAGGCGGCGGTGGTGGTCGTTGCGGTTGAGCTGGCTGTCGTAGCGGTACCACTACTTGCGGTAGAGGTGCAGGTCGCGGAGACGGGCTGTGGAAAGATGATGCGTGTCAGCGGACGTCGAGCTGCGGGGACGTGTTTGTAGGACTCTAGGGGGGGGCACACAAGATGCGATCGAATGATGGTGTTGTACAAAAGTACTGTAGTGCTGCAGACCACTGTACGTCAAGAGCAGAAGCCAAGCAATGGAACGTACCAAAAGAGACGAAGCAGACACCGGATCGCAGATGCTGTGCGCATATGCCAGCGCGGCCTCCTGGTCTGCCGTGTCACACGCCTGGAAGACGCAGCATCCAATATTATCGAGGAACGACTCGGCGTGGCAGATGCCTGTGTGTGGGTTGTGTGGCCTCATCAGCGATGCCGTTCTGGTACAGTAGCCCTTTTGTCATCTTTGTGGCTGGGAGGACCAACTAACAGTCTGGATCCAGGTTGCAGCTGGCCGGGAGCAAGCTCGTGACGCAGTCGTTGGCACCTACAGCATATCCATCCGACGGGGTCAGCGATGATCACGCAGTACACAATACAAATACACAGTAGTCGCAGTCAAGGCGAGGAAGAGGGGCATAATTACACGAAGGCAACGTCCCTGCGGTCTGCGCCGCCGCGAAACCCACCAGCAGGGTGGAGGCAGCAAGGATGAGCTGACGATGCATGGTTGTGAGTGAGAGCTGCGTAATCGATCGTGCTGAGTGTCTGCGAGCTTCTCCGCTTTTCCAACCGGGGCAGCGTGCAGTACTCGGACTGTGGATATCAAGCAAAGTGAGAAGGTTGACAGTTCAGTACGGAGTATCGAGTACTGGGTGAGTAGGGTGCAAGGGATCGACAACAGAAAGGGAACCGAGTTTTGCGCGGACAGATGAACCTTCAACATGCACTTCCTTGACCCCGACGAGCTGGTTCGACCTGGCTCGACCGGGCTCGACCTGGCGCTGGCGCTGGCACTGGCACTGGCACTGGCACTTGGTATCGAAGCCACAAGATGCAGGATTGTGGAGGCGCCGGTTAGAATCGATCGGATCGAGTCCGTCCGCGTGAACGCCGCGATCCGGCATCCAACCATGGACTATTATCTGTCTCTGTGTTGTCTCTGGTCTGGCAGCATTGGTATTCTGTGCCATCTGAACCCCGGCCTCCAGCAGGCTTGACATCGTGAGTACTCCGCACAGTCAACCCTGTTCTGTGACTGTGTAGACGCAACACATCGTATTCGGCTTGCAAGCACACGGAAAACGGAAACCGGAAATCCAATCACTCGCCAATGCACAAGGGCTGGCTGACTTGGACGCCACACGGCCTCTGGATTGGTAGACTTTACGCAGTACTCGTGCGTAATATCTTCGACGAACAAGGTCCACAAGGGACGATACGATACAGCGCCGTCCTTCCCTGGGCCCCTGACAGCCATGTGTGAGCTCAGCTACAGTATACCGCGAAGACGGGTTCGGCGGGCGTTATTGAGCACGAACCATGCTGGAGACGCAAGCTACTATAACGCCGAGTATTGAGAGTACGGGAACTGCATTAGAACTGCAGTAACGTCTTCTCTTTCTCCTTCATATCATACTGTACATACATAGGAGATCGATCTCACTCGCGGGACATTCCTTGATCTCGTGCACCGTCACTATCATCAACATTATACAGGACTTCCCTTCCAGCACCGGAGATTCCTGACAACACTGCTCGTCGAGGGTACGGTTCATCCATGGTCGAAAGCCGTAGCATCCATAGTGGTTCCCTCCATAGACGGCCACGGCCATGATGAGGAAGTCTCCCACCAAGCAGCCTTGACGCACGGAGCGCTTCTCGCAACCCAACTCGCCGCCGCCGCCGCCGCTCTTCGCTCAGACGACATTAATCGTATATGTGTAATCACTGGCAAACCAGTACCCGTTGGCATGGTCCAGCCGCTCCAGGTAATTGTTCATCTCCGCGTCGCCCTTCATGACACTGCGGAACCGATCCCAATTGACCTGGTCGTGCGTCGACACGTCGAAACACCCGATCCGCCGGAACTCCCCTTTCTTCATCGTCGCACACAACAGCAGGCCCTCGACGCGATCGACCACGTCGATCACGGGCAAGAGGTAAATCTCCAGCATCTCGCACAACATGCCAGAGCTCGCGTCACTCAGCTTGGGCAGGCGATCGTCGAAACTCGCATTCTCCAGCTCAACCTGGGCTTTCGTGCATTGGACCACGCACGGCGTCCGGCCCCAGTAGTCGTGCGTCCGTCGCAGGAGGCCCCTGGCCATGAACCCGCGGACTTTCATCTTGGCGCTCTCGACGATGCCAAAGTGGTCGCCCGCCGGATGATAGTTCACGTCCAGGTCGATGATCTCGATGCACGTCTCGCGCTGCGACGTCGCCGGTTCCGGGTATCGCACCGCACCGTCGATGGACGCCCACGTCCACGTCGGGGCGCGGTATCTCGTCGGTCGCCGGCCCTGCTCCACCCGCCAGAGTAATGCGTGTGGTAATTGCGGCTTCCACATGCCGACGAGGTAGTCGTCCGCGTGGAGGCGGTTTCTGGCCATGTACTGCTTCGCCAGCCCCGTGAGGGCCAGCAGTTTGTCCGACGCATACGTGAGGCGCTTGGGCGAGTACATCTGGACCAGCTGGTGCCAGTTGCCGTGCCGTTGGTGGTGGATTCTCTTGCTGAAGAATTCTTCGTGTTCCTGCGACGACGGCGGCCGCATCGTCGCCGGCAGACCCTTGGGGAACACCTCGGAGCAGCACATCTGCTGGCACTCCCAGAAGACTTCGTTGCGCGTGAAGTGCAGGGTGCGCTTGGCGAGACACCGCTCCTGGAACGCCCACGCGCGTTTCGACAGAGGAGACGCGTCCACAAGATCGTGCCACAGTGTGGAGCGGAGGATCTTGTACATGCCCTCGTCGACGCCTAGGCTGGCGTTGACCGAGACGATGCACGGTTGCAAAGCAGCCACGTTGCGCGTGTTGATCAGGCCCGCCGCATCGTCCCTCGACGACGTGGCCGCTATATTGAGCGCCGCTTCGGAATACACTCTGTGCATCTGACCCATCGCGGCCAGCACGTCCGCCTCGCTATCTTGCCGGATACAGAGCGCGTCAATCCAGAGGTAGCGGAATCCAAGCCTGTCCGCCACCGACGCCGCCTCTGCAAATGTCTTGGGCAAGCTACTCAAGCTGACACCCTGCCTCAGCGCGGAAAGCGTGCCTTTGTGCAGTCGAATCGTCTTGGTTTTCCCCCAACAGTGGCTCAAGGTCACGTACTCACTCAACGGGTCGGCGAACATGCCATCCACCAGTTTCAGACCCGGAACACCCCTGGGGCCCTTGACAGAGACGTCCAGGAGATGCGTCGGCTTCCAGGTCGACGCGTCCGGGTTTGCCGAGACGGAGCATTTCATGTGGTTAAAGGTGCAGTCTTGAATCCATTGTTTGGCAAGTTCGATGGTCTCCTGCGATGCCGTGCTGACCGATCTGGCGTCGATTGTGCGCACGCCAGGTTCAACAGCGTCTGTCATGCAATCCGTCAGTCGCCGTCACCAAGGGGTCTCCATCGTTGTGCCAACCACAGATTGGCCAAGACTCACATTTCGGATTCATCAGAATCAACTCGACCACCAGTCCCGTGGTCTCTTCCCAATTCAACACCAGACTCGCCTTGGAACCATTACTGCTCGGCGTCGGACCTCTGTTCTCCTTGTTCTCCTCCGGCGACGTCGGCGCCTTCGCGGGCTTCACGTAGCGGAACTTCAATCGCGCTTGATCTCTCGCAATGGGTGAGATCCACGCAAACCCGACCGAGTCGACGGCCGACCCTTTACTCCGGAACGTCCGGTAGGCGTCTGGGTCAATCGACATGAATACCGTCAGGCACAAGTGGCATTGACTCGCGCGCGACGCGAGTGCTTCCAGCCCATGGTGGGGGATTTCTCCCGTCGAGTCCGACCTGGAAGCATGGCTCTCTTGGAAAATCAGCTGGCACGCGCTGCAGAGCGTGCTCGGGGTGAGTTCAGTCATGTTGGTGGTCTTCTGTCGCGAATGGGGAGTTGTCGGCCACTGATGCTGCTCCCCGGCATGTCGCTGGAATCAGTCGTGCGCGTGCGTCGCTCAATGGTCACCCAAGTCGCCGCCCGTGCACGTACACGTACAAAGGATTTCAGTGTGAACAACGCACACTTGAGAGAATTGCCGTGTGGATCGTGACGAGACCCTTCTTCGCCTGACGCAAAACGCGTGAATGTCCAGGTCGAGGTCGCTTCTCCTGAGATCGTCGCCGCCAATACAGAGCCGAAGTCCTAATTTCCGAGCGCGGGCGCTTTGGACGCCACGCCAACTCAAGCGGTTTCAGGGAAAAGCAACGCGCCTCAAGGTGATACGCGCGCTGCATTGATTGCATCACATCATGCCATTGACAGCACGAGATTGAAGAGTGGCAAAGTGAGAATGACAGGATGCGCGTACGGCTCCCATCTTCTCTCCCGGTTGTTGTCTGCTGTCCCATTCGAAGCGGGCAAAGAGCAGGGAGACCCCGGTCACAAGCCGCCCCGGAGATAGCCACGAATCCGAAGCCAAAAGCTTGCTGCTGTTAAGCGAGAATTGTGGGGGTAACGTAGCCCTGGAATGACATGGGTGATTAGAGATCGACACTGATTGACCGTGGATTGATTACTGTATTATGCAGTGGGGATTCTATATAGACATGAAGGCATGAAGGTCATCGAAGATGTGAGTGCAACGAGCACTATCTCAGCCTCGCCATCTTCAACAGGTCGTGTCGGTGAAAGAACTCTCGGTTTCTTTTCCCAAAGACGTACATTGGTACGCTGAGCAGACAAACCACGATCTCGATACTGCCAAATATAATGAAGAGGTGGTTGATTCGGATTGCAAAGACCCAATTGTAAGCGTGGTAGGCCAGGATGAAAGAGAAGATGTTCTTGAAAATGATGAGGTTCGTAAATGCTTCCACTGCGATGTCGCGGTGAGCGTCGAGCAGGTATTGCGCCGATGCTATCGAGCCCATGACCATGCTGATGATGATGAATGCGAGAAAGACCTCGGGAACGATCCAGCCATATCGAGCCACGTCGTTGGCCGTGATGCCGAAGCCATACAGGCCGATGCATGAGAAAACCAAGGTCGGCAGAACCAGCAGGATGCGAAATTCTGGCTCATATTTCCCCTTGTTGAGTCTGGTCAGGAACCTCGTCACCACTTCGCTGTAGGTGCCGGCGCCAAAGAGGCCAAGAATGCTGCCGATGAAGGCGCTGGTGTACATTTTGCCGGCTTTCTCTTCATTGAAGAACAGAGGCGGACCCAAGAAGATGAGTGACAATATCACCCCCACCATGACAGTCCACCCGATTATCACGCCTTGGATCAAGCAAGCCCAAATCACTGCTGGGTGTAAGAAGAGCGGAAATGGCCGAAATAGGAGCTTGAAGAAAGACTCATCGGTCTTGCGGCCATTGAAAGGCAGAAGCCTCTTGAGATAGGAGTCCATTCGAGGGACGCTTTCAGCCGCCCTCTGGGAGTGCAAAGGTTTCTCTTCATCCTTGGCTATCGATGTTTGAGCTGCACCAACGGCATCCGATGAAGAATCACCTTCAGCAAGCAGATCGAGGTCGAGTGAATGTGCGCGCCGGAAAGCCGTCTCAGGCACGAAGAAGAACAGAAGCAGGAATCCGAGGGCCATGAAGATGGCAAGGAAGAAGAACTGGTAGTGCTTGGTCAGTAACCCTCCGCTCTGTGATGGCACTGTGCGCTGATAGCAGGTGACTCGGCCATCAGCCGTGTCCCCTTGCTGAAGGTACACTTACGCTCCATTGCCAGCCCATATGAGCGGAAATCATTCCCACAAAGACAGGAGTCAGAAAGGCTCCGCCAAACAGACAAGTGTTCGTGATAGCCATTCGGATACCCCTCTCGTGTACGTAGTATAGGTCACCCACGCAGGCATTGACCAGCGCTTCGAACGGTGCAAGGGCAACACCCTGAAAGACACGGCTCCAGAGCAAACTGGCATAGTTATGACGGACGTGTTCAGAGCCACCCCAAGCCGAGCTTGCAACCATGAGCAGTGCGCCGAAGAGAAACAGATGTCTTTTACCCCATACTCTTGCCGATGCAACGAAAAGCCATCCTGCTACGCACACGCCGCAGAGGTGATAGGCCGTCAGCAGGGCCGCATCTTGAAATGTTCGCCTGAACACGATGGCAAGGGTTACGGAATCAGCTGCCAGTAAGGGAGACGCTGTAGTCGCAAGACACGAGACGAAGCATAAGATGCCGAGGATCACGTCGCGTTGCCAAAGAGGCCAGTTCTGCCAGCGGCGTCAGTGACGGCGTCTCGCCTGCACTGCGGAAGGAGACACACCAAGGGATCGTTCGGGTCGTTCGAGGGCTGAGGCACCAGGATGAATCGACCAGCCTTGTCTTTCTTCAAATGCTGAGCATTCTCGAGGAGCTGGGTATGTCGCTGTTCGGTCTCATACACGTAGACTGTCCCCGGGACGTGTTCGACCTTGGCTTCGAGGATTCCTAGAGCCATTCCTAGGTCACGTTAAGGACTCTTGACAGGTGAATGCGGCGGTGGTGCGTCCTGTTTTGCTATCGTGTCGCCGGATTCATGGCTCCCGGCAGCATAACACGAGCCTGAAGAGATGTCCCGTTGGCTTCGCTGCGAGCCTGAGGGCCGACTGTAAGGTTGCCTGGAGACAGAAATGTGGCGCAAGCGACAGATTCCGGGGAATGTGGGAATGCAACCGCAGGCGACCTTCCTTCCCCGCCGTTCTCGATCCAGGCACTCGAGGCCACAACAAGCCTCCGACAAGCCATGCGGTTGGCCAATCTTTTTCGAGCCTTAACTATTTAAGTTTGTGACACGCAGTAATTGACGGCGAAGACACGACGAGATATCTCGACTGTCTTATCGACGGTTCTCGAATGAATCACATGTTCCACAGGGATTCAATCGGTTTTCACGAAGAGAGTGTGGCTGAAGGCCATCGCAAGGATCCTGACCTTCCCGAAGCTTATTCCCGGTATTTTCGTGAGACAACGCCGAGCTGAAGAGCTATGTACAATGCATTGAGGTTGAGCGCGTTTAGCTCTCATTGATGAAAACTGTTTGCCGCAACCCCTCTGAGAATGATCTCAACGGCGTCTTGACACCCGGCCTTCAACTCCTGAGTAAGCAGGCGAGTTCCAAGACATAGGTTCGCGGGTTTCCTCGTTCATTTTCCCTTCTCACTGCCATACATGGTCTTGTTCCACGCTCGCTCGGGTTTGCTGGAAGGATACGCTCGCTGATCGTCTCCAATACCTTCTTGCTCGTAAGCGTTGGGGTTGCCGGAGGAAGCACCCTCCCTGGTTGGTCCGTCATTTGTTTGTCCTTGTATCGTGCCACCATATGCCTTGGTGTGAGTCGAAGTAGCACCACCTCTTCCATAAGCTTTCTCGACATTCTCAACGCCTGTAGTTTTCAGACCCCCACCAGCGGTAGGGGCCCCAGGAACTCCTGGTGATGCTTTGGGCCAGATGTAGAGGAGGGCGCCCAAAGTTACCGCGCCGACGGTTATGTAGCGAGTACTAGACATTGTCGTGTTGGTTCGATCAGGCGAGAGAAGATCCGTAAGATGGCTGGGGGTGCCCGAGGGGATGCCCGTTCAGGTAGTATTGTAATCTGGCTTTTGCGTCCAATTGTACTGATCGCTGAGGCTTGCAGCAGCAATAGTCGATAGCGCAATCAAGAACAACCGCAAGAATGAAAGAGTGACTCTCAAGAGCTTGTCCCTTCGCAGGAAAATCTTCAACTACCACGAGGTCTAAGTGAAGGCAAGAGCCATGAGTGATGCATGACGTAGCCCGGTTGGGCCGAAAGAATTGGTCGAAAGTGCACTTACGCAGGGGAGAATTCATCAACCGCTCTACACGGTACTCAGGCAACCTCCGAGGAACGGATTTGACTTCCTCGTCACGATGGGGTGTCATGTTGAGGTGAAATCGGAAGGCAGCCGGAGATGAAGTCATGACTTTGCCATCAATCAACGCCAACGAAATCTAATTCGAGTGCTGGATGCGGGTTCGCCTGCCAAGGCAGACGCCACACAAGTCACATGTTCACTGAGTCTGGGATGACAGGGAAAATCGGAAGAAGTCAAGGGTAAAAGAATGTGGAAATGACTGACCGAGTGACCTGAGATTCCATCTCAGTTGTCAACCTGTGATTGTGGACCGTTCCCGCGCACGCTTGCTAACTCCACTCATCAGTCCACCTGAGCTAAGCTATGTGGTATCGTAGGAGACAAAAACAAGAGAAAACAATGTATGCCTTGGGATCGCATTCGACATAGGTGGGAATAGGTAGTGGTCCGCATCGAGGGCCTTCTTCGTAGGTCTCTCTGCTGTATCTGTCCCTGTTGCACAAATCACTTCGCACCACCAGTGCAATACCTAGAATCCGTGCTCGTCTCAAGCCATGCTGATGCACTGCCAGTTGAGCAATATCCTGCCATCAAAACATGAGGCGGTTGTAAGCAAGAATGACAAAAGGCGTAAGAGGTGCACAGCTGCCTAACGGCCATCTCTTAAGAAGCAGGAGCAGGCTCAGCTTTCTCCGCGGCCTCAGCAGGGGCACCGGTCTCCGCAGGCTTCTCCTCCTTGGAGGCTTCACCAGCTGGGCCAGCTTCACCCTCACCACCATCAGACGATGTCCACAATGTCAAGTTGTCTCTGAGCAACTGCATGATAAGCGTGCTGTCCCGGTATGATTCCTCAGAGAGGGAGTCGAGCTCGGCGATGGCGTCGTCGAAGGCTTGTTTGGCAAGATGGCAGGCACGATCAGGCGAGTTGAGGATTTCGTAGTAGAAGACGCTGAAGTTGAGGGCAAGACCAAGGCGGATAGGGTGAGTGGGAGTGAGTTCGGTCTGTGCAACATCGGTGGCGTTCTAAGGTGGGAAGTCAGTTGGAGTGCGCGTACTGTGCGGAGTGCGACTGTCATACCTTGTAGGCCTCGT